GGCCCCGGCGCAGTGGGTGCTGCTGGAGCTGCAGGGTGAGGTGGAGCCCCGGCAGAGCGGGGATCTGGCCGGGAGYCTGCTGGGAGACCTGCACTACACCCGTGAGGTGAGGCTGACACCACCAGGACCCAGCTTGGACAGTCCAGCCCAGCCCAGCCTCACCCTCTGCTCTCCCCAGGGTGTCCCCGTGCTCATCGTGGGCCATCACATCCTCTAYGGGAAGGTGGTGCAGCTGGAGAAGCCGTTTGCTGTGCTGGTGAAGGAGGGAGGAGCCCCCCAGCCCAGCCCTGGGGGGCCCTGCASCCGCTACGCCGTCACTGCCCTCATCAAAACCAAACTGCTCTTCAAAACCCGCCCCAAACCCATCATCACCCAYGTGCCCAAGAAGGTGTGAGGGCAAGGGTGGGGGCTGTGAACTGGGATCTGCTGCTGGAAAGAGATCCAGGGCCTCATYCCTGTCCTGCACAGGGAGCTCTGGGGCTGCTGGGTCCAGTGCTGGGCACCCAGAGCCCTTCCTGGGTCATTTGTCCCCCCTAAAATGACTCTTTGAGGAGTGACCAAGGTCTGGATCACAGGACCAGGGTCACCCCTGGGGCCTTGGCTCCTGGAAGGCAGGGATGTCCCACCCCAGGGACTGCCACAGTGTCCAGCAGGTCCCAGGAATCCATGAAGGTGCCACTGTGGAGATGTCTCCTCTCTGCTCCCTGCAGCTTTGGGGATACAGGTGCCAGGCAGGGACTCAGCACCAACATCCCTCGACTCAGACAGGACCAGGGACCCTCCCCAAAACACACAACCTGTCCTCACTGCAACTCTTTATTTCCACGGCTCCATCAGGATATAAAAACCAGCTCTTTCCACCCAAAGTAAGAAACAGAATCCTTCTGGCAGGTTCAAAAATAAATAGATTTACAAACCATCTGCAACAATACGAAAGAGCTACAAAAGTCTTCTAAAAAACCTTGTATTAAATAAACAAAAAACAGCTAAAAGCTCCCTCATATAAAGGGTTTTTATCCGAGTCCTGAAAAAAGGACCCACAGGTGAATTCTCTGGGGAGGGGAAAGGTTGGGAAGCACCTTGCCTAAATCCCCATCTTCCCTCTGTTGGGAAGGCAGTGGGGTGGGAGTGATGAGGCCGTGGGTCGGCCAGAGTGCAGCGTGGCTCCGAAGGGTCTCCAGCAACACTCCAGCCAACACAGGCTCCCAGTTTTTCCATGCCAGGATCCCCCCTTGGCTCTTTGGCAAAGCTGAAGAGACCTGCTGCCCTCCTGGAGCAGCGAGACCCCCAAAAGGCCGGGGGGGCTCCCTGTGGGTTCGTCCCCGCACGCAGCAGAGGCAGCACCAGCCAGCAGTGCCAGCACCACGCTGGATGGAGACCGTGTGTCCTGGGGGTGGGAAGTGCTGTAGCACCATGGAGATGGGACTGAAATCCCTATAAAAAGCACCAGAGGGTGGAAAATTCTGCATTGGGGTGGGGGGAGCGTGGCCAGCAGCGCTCCACGCCAGGGTGCTCCATAGGGCACAGTGGGGATGCAGCCAGCAGCACCTGCCTGGGTCATGGCAGCCCTGGCTCGGCTTCTCYGTGGCCAGCTTGGGATGGAAGAATGGAAAAAAAGAAAAATAAACTTACTAATAAAGAATAAAAAGCAAGATTTCAAGATCTGATGAGAAATGCCAAGGGTTGGGAGCGCTCAGCGCTGCCCAGCAGCTCCAGGATGGGGAGAAAGRGAACTGGGGGTGTTCACTCCAGCATGTGGGATCACCCCAGGCCATGGCRGGTCTGGGATGGGGACGGGACGGGGGTGGTTACCCTGACACGTTGGATCCCGTGGCACACGGGAGGATCCTGGCACGAGAACCCTGCGGTCAGACCTCGGCGAACACCAGCCCACACTGCTCCTGCCGCTTGCCGCAGCGGCGGGCGACGATGGCCAGGTAGAGCGTCAGCAGGGCCACCCAGTAGCAGGCGTAGAGGATGGCACCCGAGATGAGGAAGGCCACCTCGGTCTCGCTGAACAGGTCCTGGCTGTAGGCGGTGTAGGCCAGCCCGCCCAGCAGCACGGCCACCCACACCGACACCGGCAGCAGCCCCACAAAGTTCACCACGATGGTGCGGCGCCCCGAGGTGCCCCAGCCCGACTTGTTGATGGTGGCGATGGCGAAGATCTTGGCGGGCAGCAGGCTGGACATGTAGAGGAGGGCGTAGAGGGACATGAAGATCATCTCGGCGTTGCCACGCAGGAAGCAGGCGTAGGTGGCCTTGATGACSCCCACCAGCTGCACCGTCAGCAGGAACAGGAGGATGTTCCACACGCGGCCGCGGTAGAAGAGCTGGATGACGGTGGCGATGAGGAAGAAGGGGAAGAAGCCGGTGACCACCGACTCGTAGGTCATCCAGAGGTGATGCTTGTGGAACCAGAGCGCGTTGTAGAGCCACTCGCGGAARTAGGACTTGCTCCAGCGGGTCTGCTGGTTGAGCCAGCGCAGGTAGCGCGTGGGYGTCTCCGTCAGGCACTTGGAGCGAGCCGTGTACTTGGTCCGGTAGCCCAGGCTGAGCACGCGGTTGGTGAGGTGTCGGTCGTCCCCGAAGCTGCACTTGCTGCCCAGGAAGGTCTGGTGGTACCAGTCCTCGAGGAACTGCTGCAGCAGCGCGTTGCGGTACATGCCCAGGGGGCCGCTGATGCACTGCACGCAGCCGAAGTACGACTGRCACGCGCGCTCCACGTTGAAGGCCATCCAGTACCGAACGCTGCTCAGGAAGGAGAGCCACGAGTCGTACTTGTTGAGGATCTGGGGAGAGGATGGGTGTGAGCAGCCCACCGGCACCCCGGTCCTCCCCTCGCCGCCCCGGGTGCCCTCTCTCACGCCACCGTACCTGGACATCGCCGCCGACGCCGCCGACGCGGGGGTCGGCCTCCAGGATGCGGAGCATCTCGGCGGTGCAGGCGGGGTCCAGCACCGTGTCTGAGTCACACACCTGGGGGCAGAGCGAATGTCGAGCCCCGCTCCCGCCGCCCACACGCACCCGGCAGAMGGCCCAGCCCACAGCCAGGCAAGCCTGAGCTGCGGACGGCGAGACCAGGCAGAGCCCTGGAGACCGGCGGGCGATGGCGGGGAGCGGAGCACCCARGGGTACCGGGGCACTGCTCCCCAGGACATGCATCTCCAGCTGCTGGCAGCGAGGGAACACCTGCCCCGGTCACCACACGCTGTCACACGGGGTGACACCGCAGCGGGGCATGCACTGAGAAGGTGACTGACACCTCAGTGCAGGCAGGGCTCAACCCCTCAGCTGCCCCGGCCCTGGTGGCTCATGGCCAGCACACGGGGACAGATGAAGCAGCARGCACCCAGATGCTGCTGAGCATCCCCAGGGCTGCTCCCACCCACCCGCAGCCCCTGTGCCCGGCCCCGCAGGCAGGACGCTGACTGCCCACACCCCCCAGCCCATGCATCCACCTGGATATAGTCCACGGAGTCTCCAAGTGCCCGGAAGGCCGTGTACATCACCTCCCGCTTCCCACCCCACTTCTGGAGGATGCAGGAGTAGGTGTTGCTGCGCACCAGCGCCTGGACATGAGCCACTCCTTCCCGCAGCCCGGCCTCCGTCTCCCCCTCGCCCCAYGCGTGGAAGTTGCTCCTCCAGATGTAGCTGCCGGAGCGCTCGGAGCCCATCACGTCGTGGAAGATGTCCAACATGTAGGTGTCGTCAGGGCCGTTCCCGTCCACCACCATCACCACTTTGAGGTCAGGGAAGGCGATGCGCTTGACAGAGCGCAGGCACTTGGTCAGGTAGTCGGGATCCTCCTGGAAGGCGGCGATGCAGAGWGCCACCGAGCGCCCCGGCCGCACCGGCCGCCCCTCGCCCCGCATGCGCCGGTGCTCCAGGAAGGCGAAGAGGCTCTGGATGAAGAGGTGCAGCCCCAGGATGGCCCCGTAGAGCCCGAAGGAGAGGTAGTGCTTCTCCGTGTGGATGAACTGGTACCCTGTGACGTAGGCGGCCAGGATTCCCCCCAGCACGGCCACGGCGAACAGGCTGGTCCCCACAACACGCAGGGCCGTGGAGAGGCTCCCTGGCATCTGGAGGGACACAGGGCACCGTCAGGGCAGGGACGGGGGGACACGCTMCCCATCAGGCCACCCAAAATGCAAAAGGGGGATGGCCGTGCTCCCCCATGGCCACCCCGTTCCTCGCCAGCCGCTGGTTTGGGGGTGACACCTTCTCGGTGCCTCCATGGGGCAGAGGAGGTGCGGGGGTCCCACACACCCGGCCGTGTGCGAAGCCGAGTGAGGTGTAGGGGACCCGGGTACCCCGCTGTGTGCAGCGCCGGCAGCCCCCGGCCACCCGAGCGGGACCACGGCTGCTCCCAGGCGGTGGCCGGGCTGGAGGACAGGGAAGGGCACGGGGATGGCAGGGACCAGGGCGTCCCCGGGGAAATCGCGGCCGCTCAGAGCCCTCCTCCATCCCGAGCGCCCGCGGCGGGACCCCCGGCTGCGGGGATGGCAGAGCCAGACCCCCACCCCGCTGCGGGACGGGAGCGGGGCGCGGGCAGGACGGGACTGCGGAGCGGCACCGGGACGCGGGAGCACGTGCGGGGTGCGGGCAGGGCGCGGAGCCAAACCCGGGGACCCCCGGCGGCACCTCCCGGGCAGCACCTCCGGCTTCCCCCCGGTCCCGCAGCCCCCGGCGCTCCCGGCTCCTCCCGGTCCCGCAGCCCCCGGCGCTCCCCGCTGCCCGTTACCTCCGGCCCCGCAGCACCGCGGGGCGCCCCGAGCCGGCACCGGCGGGGTCGGGAGGGAGAAGGAGGGACCGGGACTCACCGTGGAGGTGACGGTGCCGCCGCTCCCCACCCGCCGCCGCCGCTGAACGCCCAGCCCGGGCCGTGCGGCCCCTTTATACCGCGGCGGGGCCGGCACCGCCCGCAGCCCGCGGGGGCCCCGCCCGGCACCGGCACCGGCACCGGCACCGCCGGCACCGCCCCCGGCACCAGCACCGGCACCGGCTCCGGCTCCGCCCGCAAGCCCCGGGAACCCGCCCCGCACCGGCAGCACCTGGCACCGGCCCCAGCCCCGCACTGCGGGAGTGATGACCGGCACCGGCAGCACCGGCGGCACCGGCATCAGCGGCTCCAGAGCTGCACCGGCACTGGCATCATCACAGGCATCACGGCACAGCTGCTGCACCGGCAGCACCGGCAGCACCGGCAGCGGCTCCGGGGCTGCACCGGAACCGGCATCACCATCACCATCACCGGCAACGGCACAGAGCCACCGGGACCGGCCACTCCATCCCCCCCGCCGCTCCTGCGGCCCCTCTCATGCCACCCACGTGTCACCTTCCCGTGTCACCGTGCTCCCCGCGGCTSTGAGCCCCCGTGTCACCCGTGGCTGGCGGGCCGGGGCAGGACCAGGGTCATTCCGGGGACAGCAGCACTTTGTCCCCGCGCCGACCTGGTGGCAGGGGACAGCCAGCTCCGGGAGGGCCATTCTGAGTCTGAGGAGCCACAGCCTCGACTCGGGGCTCAAATTCAGCATTTTTCTCACTCCAATCGCATCCTGCTGTGCTGGGAACTGGGTGCGAGGCAATGCCGGGATTGGGCCCGAGGATCCAAGCGCCAGGAGCTGGGAAAGGGGATCCCCCCAGCAGCACAGGCGGATCCCCCTCTCTGACACCTCGGGCGCTGGGGTGGTGCTGGCTGGGAGCTTCCCGAGCCCCTGGGGTGAGCAGTGAGGAACCGGTGAGCCCATGGATGAGACAGGGACATGGTGGGACCCTCGGCACCACCAGCCACATGGCCACAGTGGGGCACAGGGTGTGCAGCCTTGGCACAGCAGGGTCAGACTGGCATGGTCATGCCTGTGCCACCACCACAGTGCTGGGACACTGCTGGGACACAGGGCCAGCATGTCTGCACCTCACAGCCTTCCCTCTACCCTCAYCCTGGATCCCTCACTTTCCGCTGTGCCTGTGGTTGCCCAAGGTACAAAACAAACTCTCTCCACCTCCAGCACAGCTGCTGCCCTGCTCCCAGCGGCAGGACAGCCACACACATCCCTGCTCCTGGAGGCGGGATGGCTGGACACTGCCCAGCCAGCAGCATCATTCCAGAGTGCTCCTCTGCCATCCACGACAGGCTCTGGACGGGCACAGCTGCATCCCAGTGCAGGGCTGTGGTCCAGAACCACGAGCAATGAGGAGCACTCAGCCATCACCGCTCTCTGGTGAGGAGAACGTGCTCCCACTGCATGTGCACTCACAGCACGACAAGCACAGGATGGGGACACGGCCAGGACCCCCAACCTTGCAGGGAAGGGGTGCTGGACATCCCCACCGTCTGTCAGGACACAGGGCAGCTGTGAGATGGCCCTGGGGCTGTGCACGATGGGGCTGGGCTGCCCGGTGCCAGGGGAGTGAGGGGGCACCAAGCCGGGTCCCTGAGGACGCTGCTCCCCCCACACTGCGGGGAAGGGAACGGGGCCCACAGTGCTGCAGCACTCCTGGGGGCTGCCCTGCCTGCAGAGAGGAGGGGTCGCTGATGTTGGGGTGTCCCTGAGCACGTGATGGTGAGTGGTGGCCCCAGCCAGGTGCCCTGTGGGTCCCTTACCCCTCCTCGGCTTGGAGGGGGCTCTTGATGACACAGTAGAGAGGCCCATCCTCAGACCCCATGGTGAGGGAGTCCCTGAACCCTTCAGCATCCTCCTGGTGTGAGCACAGTGCCAAGGAGAGGCCATGGAATTCCACTCTAGGGGTGCAAACAGCAGAGCCCCCTTTCCTGCTGACTCCCCTCAAGGACAGCCACACACTCGGTTCTGGCTGGCCCAAGGGAGCCCGAGGCACTGGCCCTTGTGGCTGCTTCCTCAACCCAGCRCTCACCCTGGGGGTGACACCCACCCTTCCACAGGACCAGGGCTGGGACACGGCCATGACGACACCCGTGAGCTTTGCGTGGCCCCACAGACATCACAGACACAGGGCTGAGCACATCTCTCTTTAATCCCACACCCCGTCCCAGCGAGGTCCCCTCCCTGTCCGACACCGCCAGCGGTGTCCTGGAGGGCACAGCAACCCCTCCCCGTGGGAAGGCACCRGCCCCGACCCCAGAGCAGGAACAGTTCATTTCCAGGAGCTCATCCCCGCTATGGCAGCACCACGATCTTCTTCTGCAGCGTTTGTGGGGGGAACAGGGCTCTCCTGACAGCGGTGTCCAGCTCATCCAGCGCCAGCTGCGCGTGCAGCACGGTCGCACCGTCGCGCTCGGCGGTCACCACGTGCTTCAGCAGGCGGTACAGATCCCGCAGCACATCCCGCAGCACCTGGGCACGGGCAGGGCCAGCGTCAGCACCCGCCCGTGCYGCCCCCTCAGCGTGTCCCGGCAGGAGTGTGGGCACCCCTTCCCCTGGCGCTGACGGTGCCGCGGTCCCCGTGACTCAGTTTCCCCACGCGCCAGCAGCACGTTGTGGTGATCCTCTGGCACAGGGGCACTGGGGCATGCCGGGATCACTGCTGTGGGGAATCCCGTGGGGAACCGGCTGTTTCCTCCACAGGAGCTCAGTCCCAACATGCTTGTTTTACTGGGAACTGCGGAGGGACGCCACAGCGGTGGAAGAACTGGCCATTTCCAAGTCAAATCAGCGATGAACAGCTCCCACGGCTCCCAGGAGCTGGCACTGCCCCCAGCATGGCACGGCCCAGCACTTCAGAGGGACATTTCCATAAAGCCTCCCTGCCCCAGGGTCCATTGAGGGAACCCTTTAGTGGGGGACACCCAAATTGGGCATCTCAGTCTCTTGTGATTTTCCATGGAAAATGCTCGGGAATGAGCCCTGCAGCCCCTGTGGAGCAGGGGCCCTCCCCAAGGGATGCCAGGAGCCTGTTGGGGACTGTCCCTGCCCCAGGGACAAACAGGGGTGACCYACCTCGGTGACCTTCTCGCTCAGCCCCCGCAGCAGCAGCACCACCACGTGCACAGCAGCTCTTCGCACCTCAGCCTCGGGGTCTGTCCGAGCTATGGCCGTCACACAGCAGGTGACCTGTGGGGACAGGGCAGGGGGACATCAGTGAGGACTGGGAGATGCAGGGGATGCCACCAGAGCAGCACTGAGGTGCTGGTGATGTCTCAAGGATGAGGATGGGACCCCCATGTCCTGCGGGGTACAGGCTCCGAGCAGCTCCTACCAGGGCCGGGCAGCACATGGATGCCTCAGGAAGCTGTGTAACAGTCTGTATAAAAATCAGGCAGAGCCAAAGGAATCTAATTAAACCCCAGCAGTGACAGCCGGGAGAATGAGCAGAGCTCRCGCCTTCCCGAAATAGCAGCGTGTGGCTCATTGGCATCACATCAACTGCCAGGATCCACCGGTGCCGAGCGGAGCCGAGGGGAGAAGCCCGAGTGCCAAATCCACGATGTCTCACTCCTGGAGCACCGGGGGGTGAAACTCTGGCTCTTGTGGGGCACAGACACATCGGCTCCAGGGCTGCTGGGTCCCAGGAGTCAGGCTCACCCCACTGGGATCACAACTCCAGCAGCTCCATGTCTTATCCAGAGCCTGCAGCCAGGGCGAGGCAGCTCCGTGATACTGATGGTACTGATGATGCTGATAACAATAATTAGGATAACGGGAGGGTAATGGGGTGTCATTAAGCGTGAGGTGTCTCTGGCAGCCACCACTYGTGCCCCCAGGTCTCCTCTGGCAGTGGCTGCCATGGGTGGAGCAGGCAYCTACAAATCAGGGCTAGAACCTCCCTAGTGTCTTTTACACTCCATGATATCACCAACTGTCACTCATRTCCTTTATGAAAATGTCCTATTTCCATGTCCTCAGCTCAAACATGGGTTCGTTAATGAGATGGCCCCATGCTCCCCAGGCAGGAGGGGGAAGGATGGAGCTGGTACCTCCTGGACGATGGATCCCAGCTGGAAGCCGAGGTGCTGGCAGAGCTCGCCCAGGTTGGAGAGGCTGCTGGCACGCAGGGCACTGTCGGGATCGCGGGCACCCCGCAGGAAAGCCCGGATCAGCGGCTCCCGGTGCTGGAACACCATGTCCCCTGCAAGACAGAGCAGAGCTGTGTGTCACCAGCACAGAAAGGCCCACCCTTCCTGCCAGAGCCCTGGCTCCTTTGGGAGCAGACCAATTGGGCATCTGCCTTGAAACGCCAGCGAACAGCTGGATGCAACATCTGGAGCATGGCACAGCCCCTCAGCAAACACCCCACAGCACAGGCCTTGGGGCCCTTTGGCACACCCCAGTCCTCCCATGGGGTCACTCAGGGTCCTGCAAACACACCCATTCCCACAGCACCCAGACCCAAACCCCTGCCCCAATTAGCACACAGACGAGTGACCTGCTAATGAGAGGTCAGGCCCGTGCTCAGCACCCACAACACCCCCAGATTGTGGTGACCCTACAGGGGCTGAGCAGCCGTGTGTCCCATTGGAATGGGCACATCTCCCACCAGGCAGAGCCTTGGGAGGTGGAAAGCGAGGTCCAGAAGGCCAGCTGGCCTGTGAGTTCTGTGGTTTCCCAGCTCTCCCAAGCTCTGGAAGCTGCTCGGACAAGGGTGTCCTGCAGCAGATGGAGGCAGTGGGATGGATGCCTTGGGATGCCCCAGGGTGTGGGGACAGGAACGATCCTCGTGGGCAGTGGAAGATCCCAGCAGGGCTGGGGACTGGAACGGGGTGGGCAGCTCAGGGCAGCGATGTGATGCCAAGGACKTGCTGGGAAGGCATCCTGCTCTGAGCCTGCATCCCAGGGCCTGGAATTACAGCAGCATGAGCAGTGCAGGGTGATCCCAGCAGGATGCACCCCATCCAGAGCCAACAGCACATCAGTGTCTGTGCCACACGGCTACACAAGGGCATGGAGCACCTCCCTCCCCTCCTCGAGGGGGAAAGCTGCTCCAGGGATGGCAGGAGGAAGGCATGGCAGTCCCTTGGCAGAGCAGGAGAGCTCAGAACCACAGAGAGCAGAGCGATGATGGAAACGCTGGGTAAATCCTCGCTCTCAGATGCTGAAGCTTTGCAACAGAAACAACTGGGTGCAATTTGTTCTATAAATACCTGGCGAGCTGGGACGTGCAGGAGTGGCTGCCCGTGGCACCAGGGAGAGCAGGGAGAGCAGTGGAGGCTGTGCCACCATCCCCAGGGCAGCTGCCAAGGGAAACCCCACACCAGGCCAGACACATGGACAKCACCTGGGGGATCTGGGACCGAGGGGTTCTGAGCTGATTGCTGGAGCCCCRCAGGAGTCAGTGGGATGGCCTGTCCCCATCCCAGTGGCGGGGACAGACAGTGGCACAGCCTGGCACTGGGGGATGCCACAGATGGCAGAGTCCAGGGATGTCACTGCGGCCAGGGGACGTGGCAGAGGCCCCAGGGGAGTCCCAGTGCTGAGGTTTGGGGGGGTCAGGGCTCTTCAGATCATCCCCAGCCAAGGCACACAGTGCCTGCTCGGTGACCAGGGACCCCCACCCGGCTGCCCCAGCCCTGTGGACACCGGCTGCCACCTCCCTGCCCATGGAGAGCTCCAGCTGTGTGCTCCCACTGGCCTGGCCTCCTCCACCGAGTCAGAGGAGGCATTTTAGGACGTGTCCCAACAGCGGCTGCAGGAAAGGCCTCATGCAGCTCCTGCCCTCAGCCCTGCGTGTCCGGGCGCTTCCCGGCAGTCTCCAAACCCGGCGCTGCCGACCGAGGGGATGGTGGGCTGCTGGCAGGACCTGGCAGGATCCATCCTCCTGCTGCTGCTGCTGGCAAACTYGGCCAGCTTCCCTTTGGCTTCCAGACCCCTTCCCACCTCCTGACAACAAAAATCTCCTGTGGGCATTCCCCCTGGGACTTGGTGAACTGAGCTGTGCTGCTGGCAGCAGGCAGTGCTGTGCCCACAGCATRGACTCACCCAGTGCCCGGGTGACACGCATCAGCACCTCGCCCAGCTTCATCCTGGTGACAGCAGCTGCAGCATCCTCTGTGCCCTGTGCTGGGCACTCGTACTGTGCCAGCAGGACAGGCAGGATCCGCTCCGGGTACTCACTGGAGAGCAGRGCAACGCCTGCAGGGGAGAAAAGATGGAAAATCAGTCATTTAGCAGCTGGCAGCAGGTGCCCACCCACTGCTGCTGGAGGATGCCCTTTGACCTGGCATGGCCTTGGTGCACTGGGGGCAGCTGGACACTGCTGCCAATGCTTGGGCACCGGGTCTGGTCACTGCTCCCAGCTCCTGGCCATCGGCACATGGTGCCACTGTGTCYATGTCCCTGCAGATTTGCCTGGCCCTGACTGGGAGCAGGAACCYGAGTGTGCCACATGCCTGCTGCATCTCCCTGGAGGCAATGAAGGATCAGATCCCACAAGCAGGGATCAGACCCTTCTCCAGCCCCTCAATGTCATGAGGGGCCCAGCTCTGACCCAGAATTCCAGCTGTGATGTCCAATACAGGGAACACTTCACTGGAGTCCAGCTGTGTGAAACCGCTGGCTCAGACCCGGCCTCACCGCTGTGACACGGAACAAACGGGACTGAGGGGACCCATCCAGCATGGCCATCAGCCCCGTGCTTGGCATGGCACAGCTCGGCACAGCTCGGCACGGCTCGGCACGGCTCGGCATGGCTCAGCATGGCACAGGTGCCGCTGCCACGGGCCGGGTGAGTCAGGGTTAACGAGAGCYGAGCGTGCGGCAGCTGCAGCGCCGCGTTAATCACCGGGACGGTTACAGCCTCTGCTTCAGCCGCGGGGCGAGGACAGACCCGTCCCTCTCAAGACCGTACAGGCAGTGGGAAGCGCAGCAGGAACTCCTTTCCCAGCTCTGCCAAAGGTTACCAACCCAACAGCAGCGGTGCCAGCATTGCTGTGAGCCAAGGTAATGGCACTTCCCTTCCACAGAACCCGGGGGACGAYTGTCACCGTCTGCGGTCACACAGGACACCCGTGTCACCCCGCTGTGGAAGCACCAGCCYGGTGCTGTGGGGCTGGTGTTTTCCTGGGAAGTGCTGTGAGTACTCAGGAACTGCCACCTCGGCAGAGCCCTCAGGGTGCACCRGTGGATCCCCTGGCCCTGCTCCCTGCCAGCCTCAGCTGAACGGACCCTTCAGCGGGTGCCAGCCCGGGGTACCGGGGCTGTGCCCACATGGTGCTGGAACTGCAGCCCCAGCTGGTGGCACAGAGATGGTGACCCGCTCCAGAGAGTAAAAATAACTGGGAGATGAAGTCTCCAGCTTTGGGACCACAGCGTGGAGCCCATATGTGGCCCCAGGTTTGATGGAACAACATGAAGCCACAATCTGGGAGGGCAGGAGATGCTGAGCCCTCAGCCTGACTGTGGCTGTGCTGCTCTTCACTCCCACTGCCCAGAGCCCCCCAGCACAAAACCTTCCCTTACAAAGTGCTGGCACCCAGCAGGCACCGCTCACCTTGAATGGCTGAGAGGTAGACAAAGGCATCYTCGTGCTGCATGTTCTCCAGGAACACCTGGAAGGAAGGGAAGTGCCATCAGCAGTGAGCCTGGGCTGGGCCAGCAAGGCCAGAGGGCTCTGATAATCATGGCACATTCAGCACCAGCTCTGCTGGGAAGGGGCATGGGACAAGGGACACAACAGGTGACAGGGACCAAGGCAAGGGACAAGGAGCACAGCAGGAGCCTGGTACCTGCAGCAGCTTCTCCTGAAGCTGAAGWGCCTCCGGGGCCCGCTGGGTGACCAGGCTGGCGAGGTGGCGCAGGGCAGCTGCCCGGCACGAGGGCTGGGGGTCGTAGGCTGACAGCAGCAGCTCCTGGAGCCCGGCCGGGGCCAGGCTGTCAGCACAYGGGGCTGGAGAGGCACTGGTGGTGCTGGGCTCGTGGTTTGTGCTCTGCCCTTTGTTCCTGTCCCCGTGAGCAGAGGGGCTGTGCTGTCTGTGCTGTCCGTGGCGCGGGGAGCCGGGGGTTTTGTCAGGAACACCAGCAGGGCTCTGTGCTCCCATGCCAGCCTTCCTGCCCAGCACACCATCAGCAGCAGCACCCACCGTGCCCGGGGAGCAGGCACCATGGGTGCAGATGGCAATGCGCAGGTCTGAGGCCAGCTCCTGGGTCAGGGGCTCGGGGTAGGTGCGGGACAGCTCCTCCAGCAGCGGCACCAGCCGCTTCAGCACCACGAAATCGCTGGATTGGAGCTGCGGGGGGACAAAAGCAGGGCTGGCACCAATGTAATGAGGGTTCACTCCCTGGGATGCTCCCAGGAGGGTGGGCAGGGGGTGAAGAGCCCCAGCACCGGCACCAGCCCCAGCACCAGCCCAGCACCAGATCCAGCCCCAGCCCCAGCACCAGATCCAGTCCCAGCCCAGCCCCAGCCCCAGCACCAGATCCAGTCCCAGCCCAGCCCCAGCCCCAGCACCAGATCCAGACCCAGCATCAGATCCAGTCCCAACCCCAGCCCCAGCACCAGACCCAGACCCAGACAGGCCCCAGGCACCACGAGCTCCTCTCAGCCCATTGCCAATCCCAGCCCTGGCACTGCGGGCAGCAGCCATGGGAGAAGGTGGGAAGGGTGTGAASCTGAACAACAGCAGTGCCTGTGCATGGGGGCCATGCCAGGGACATCCCTGCCACCAAAACTGTGCCACATTTGCCATCAGTCCTGCCTGGAAGGACACTCACGGCAAGGCAGCCAMAACCCATCCTAAGCTCCTGCCTTAACCTGGCTTTAACTGCTGGAATCTGGGAAGTGAGGCCTGGAAAGGGGTGCTTTAGCAGAGATTTTGGATGATTGCATAAAATCCCTGGCCTGCTGAAACTCAAGCAGCTCTGCAGTCGCTTCCAAAACCTTTCACATTCCATTTTCCAAATTATGTCACTCCCATTAATGCCAAAGTGGGAGCAGAAGCTTGCCTGGGAGGGGCCCATTGCAGCCACAAGACTCTGGCTTTAACTTCTCTTCACCTACAGYTCTTTCCCCAGTGTTAGAAATTTAGGATTAAGACACAATAAAGGATCATCTTTTGTTAACAGTTGCATTTTTCTTTGGGCAAACCCAGGGATGAAGCAACCCCAGCAGCTCAGTGATGACAGCACGTTAATGGATGTGCCATTGCTCCCATTGCAGCTCCACTGACACCAAAGTGACACAGAGCTCACATATATATATATATAGGTATTACAAGAGATATAAATAACAATATAAATATGCATAAAATGTAAATATAAAAATGYAAAAGGATTTTCAAGGGTACAGCCCACATGGGAAGTTCACAATGCTCTGGAGCCAGAGTCTGTGACCATGTAGGGATGCAAAGGGTATAGCACTGGTATTTAAAGATGCTGTATGTGACTGTACTGCTCTGTCAGTGCCTTTTGGGAAGAGATTATTAATTAGTTAATTGGGCTCCTGAGGGTGCCCTGCTCAGAATCCTTGGCACTGCCCCAAGGAAAAACTGGATATTTAGATAGATAGATAGATAGATTAGATAGATATTGATAGATAGATAGATAGATAGATAGATAGATAGATAGATAGATAGATAGATTAGATAGATATTGATAGATAGATGTAGATAGATATTGATAGATAGATGTAGATAGATATTGATAGATAGATAGATGTAGATGGATATAGATAGATAGATAGATGTAGATGGAGATAGATATAGATAGATAGATAGATAGATAGATAGATAGATAGATAGATAGATAGATAGATAGATAGATAGATAGATAGATAGAGATAATAGATAGATAGATAGATAGATAGATAGATAGATAGATAGATAGATAGATAGATAGATAGATAGATAGATAGATAGATAGATAGATAGATTTGGATTTACAGGCTGCAGCTGAGCAGGGACCCCAAGCCAGAGCACCCAGATGTGCTGCAGCCCCCAGCCCACACCCCCCTCACCCCCTCACCTGCACGGCCCCGCCGAGCACGGTGGCCACCAGCCCCATGGCCATGGCGAGTGTCTGCGCCTCGGTGGCTGCGCCGGGACCCTGAGCAGGATGGACACAAGCCCGGTGCAGCACGGCCCCCACGAACTCCTGCACCTGCATGGGAACAGCTGTCAGGAGTGGGGACACCCTGAGCCACCCCTCTGCAGCTCCTGCTGCCTCTGTGCCCCTCGGAGCCTCCCCACCCTGCACAGCTCCCTGGCACAGTTCCACACCCTGCACACTGCAGGGTGCCATTGTTGGGGTGTGCTGTGCAGGGCCASGAGTTGTACTTGATRACCCTTCCAATTCWGAATATTCTGTGATTYTGTAATTCTGTGAAACCCTTCCCATTTTCCTCCTGTTGCCCCTGTCCCCATCCCAGAGCGGGCTCAGCCAAGTCACATCCACAACTGGGACAAGGTGATGGTTCAAATGGTGGGGTCTCTCAGCARCAGGAGCCCCTGAGGGCTGCAGGAGCAGAGGGATCCCAGCTCCAAGGGTCTGTRTGGAACTGCCCTAGGTAAAGGCTTGGAAATTCCAGAGCCAAGGAGTTCCAGCCCCTCCCCAAAACGCTCCATAGCAGCCTGTCCCTCACCCTGCACAGCTGACACTGCAGCTGGACCACTTCCTGTGCTCTTACTTACTTCGTCATTTTTCTCACATATTTTTATTTCTATTCTATTTCTATTCCTATTCTATTCCTATTCTATCCTATTCTATTCCTATTCTATCCTATCCTATCCTATCCTATCCTATCCTATCCTATCCTATCCTATCCTATCCTATCCTATCCTATCCTATCCTATCCTATCCTATCCTATC